AAGGGTACCTAGGGCCATCATATTTTGAATAACATAGTCATCCGCACGAACATTGGCACCTGTAAGTCCAGATTTTGAATAGAGTTTATTATCTATATCATATTTTATAAAATATTAACGAAATTTTGATTGGAAAACTCAAGGATTTCAAAGCGGTCAGTGGCAACACTGAACTGGGTAAAAACCCTTTCTATCTCTAGCGCGTGGGACTTCATTAGGAAATCCTAAAGATATCGTGTTTTTAAATAGTTTGTAATTTTGCTGTTGAATTGAATTTTATATGACGTAAGCGCCAAGAACGTGATGCTGATGCTTAATAAAGTAAACACAGAAAAGTTTAGTAATAAAATGACAAGAAATGTTTCGTAAAGCCATAAAAATGATATGACGAGCTGAGAAAAGAGTAAAAAAAATATAGAAATGTGAGACTGTTCACACTCGGAAAAATGAGGGCTAAAATTAGCGTTTACAATTAATATCTTCGATTTTAGCTATTTTAACTACTATTATTATTATTAATATTATTTTTTTTTGGTAAAACGTGGGCGTCAATCTTTCGCTGGACCCAGAAGAGAATTGTGGAAAGTTTGGTGACGATAGGTATAGCAGTGACTGAGTTAATCACAAGCAAAAACAAACCAAAAAAACACACATACATTCTTCTTTATAGATTGTAATTACAATTTCGATACAATAAAATTTACTTATTTCGTTTTATTATAAAGTAAAGTATATATAGCAAAATCAATTTGGAAAACACTTGCATTTTTATGAACATATAAATAAATAAGTGCACAAAATCAAACACAATGTAATAAAACACACAATTATAAATGATGATCAGTATATCTGCTTAGATTACTTAAAAATAATGTTTTATCTTTTATGACTGTGCTCTTTGAATGCCGTGAAAATAAACAGGGAACAATTAAGAATGGACATAATCCCCAAAATATGACTCAGCCCCATACACTCTATTTTGAGAATAAATCACTCCGAACGGCGCATGCGTGTTTGCGCTCATGGTCGTGGTTCAGGCGGTCGAACTATACAACTGTTTTGAATTTGAAACTATATATGCAATGGAATATCTAAATGATGACTAAATGTGACATAATAATAATAAAGTAATTTGCCCATAAAATTATAAATGGTAAATAGTGATAAAAAATGATTATAAATCATTAACAAAAATAATAAAATGTTTAATGATAATTTGCATATGTTATAAAAAATATGTTGTGTACACCACATGACTTCCTTGTACGGAATATTAAATTATACGTAATTTTTCTTGCGTTTCATTTAAACGTATTGGATTGATTTAAATGTACTTCTTCGATAGTGCATAATTCACTCTCAAATTTTTATAAATATAAACTATTCTGCTGTTGCCCGCCATGTTATTTAAAAATTAGGCTTAACCGCACTTAAACAGCTTTTAAATTGTTGATAATTCTGCAAATATTGCTTGCAGATTTCCTAAAGGCATAAAAACCTTAACGGGAAGATAAGAGCAACATAATTCAAACATTTTTAAAGCAAAAAATGCACAATTTACAAGCATATAAGAGCAAAGAAACTGAAATCACTGAGTCGGGTAACAGAGTGGATATACATATAAATATATTTATATGTGCTTGGTGCGTCCGATTGCCACCAAAGGACGAGGTGCACATCTACATGTTATAGCAGTCCTATATACAAATTTTCAAAGTTCTGAGGCTACTCGTTTGCACATCTACATGTTATAGCAGTCCTATATACAAAGTTTCAACGTTCTGAGGCTACTCGTTTTTGAGTTATGCGAGATACATACGTACGTACGTACAGACACCACAAAAAATTCTCTTCAGAATTCATTTCAAGTAGTTTTATAATTCAAGTAGTTTTATAATTTTTTTGGAGGAAAAAAGTCTTTCATTCTGTCCTTACGTAGAGATGTCACGCAGAAACATCATTAAATTGCATTCGATAGCGGTCAAAATGGATATTTTCTTTGAAATATGCTGCCTGAAACTTTTCGCGATTACAATACGTCCTTTATACTTCGTACAAGGAAGTAAAAAACCGGCATTTAAACAGCGAAAGCTGTTATGCCTAATAAGATTTCAATCATGTAAGTGTTGGATAAACATGTATTTAATATTTTTCTAAAGATCAAACATCAGAAATATGTTTCTCTCCTTGCTTCCATTCGTTTTAATTCAAATCATTAAAGGATGTGTACTGAGCCTGGCGTGTTATATACCTCAGATATAAAAAACGTTAGAACAGTTGTTCAAGCATTTATTTTAGGAATCCTACAAGAACACGTCTATCTCTCCATATGCGTTTCGAAGGTATTTATTTTGCGAATTTGTATACGAGTTTATACGAAAAAGTTTGAAATAAGCGTGATATTGTTTCTTCGTACCTGTACCAAAAGTAATAACGAAATTTAGTTTTACGTAAATACAAATAAAAACTTCTATTTGCTTTTGTACAGAATAGCTTTTGCTCTGAAGTTTTATGACTGTTTTGCGTGCACGTATTCCTGGCATATATTATTACTCAAATAATTTCTAGAGTTTCTTTCCTAATAAAATTATTAAATTCTTAAGCATTCAAAAATTTTCAAACAAAGGAAAATCGTATCAAAGTATTTTTATGACATGAAAAGTGTAAACAGATGTATTTTCGTTTATCAGGGATGCAGGAATATGAATATGTTCCTTCCTTAAACACAGATATACTTAAACTTATTTTTAATGAAAGAAATAAATTCTGGCTAATATGTAAATAAATTTTATGAATTATTATACCTAATACTACATTATATTTTGCATTCAAAGAATAGCCAGAAACATTTTATACTTAAAATATATATATTAATTCTTTAGAAAGCTAAATCAAAATAGCTTAATATGAGTTTTGAAAAAAAATGTGAGATGTCCTTATGTCTAGTATCTTTACATTAATAATCTGTATGTTCAACTTCAACTCTCGTAATAATTTTGCACTCCTTCAAACAATTTCAAATCTAAAACACTAACAAATATTAAAAACTTACGTATACTCTGACGAAGGACTACAGCTATTCATAATAGTGTCAATCACTAATTAATCATCCATTCTCACAAATTAACAAATTATATAAAATTTAATTCTTTGAGCTTAAAAATATTAAATTATTGAACAATTTATTGAAGCGTCGACATGTTCAAGAATGTAATTGGTAAGTACTAAGTTAAATTAATTCATATTAGGAACTTCAGCCAACAAATATTTAAATATACCAATCCAAATGGAAGCAAAAATGCTTTTCATGCAACCTGGAGAAAAGTGTAACGTTTTATTTAAACTGACACTTTTGAACACGGAAATTAGCACATTAAAATTCTCAGTAATTTTTTGGTCTTTTAAGAGTGAGGTGTATTTTGGCAGAAGAATCAAAAAAATATTCTAAATTTGCTATCTTATAATTTTAATTATGTTGTAGAGACATAAGGATTTTTTTTTTGGAAGCAACAGAGATTGAAAAATTAGCAACGCCTTCGCCGGGAATCGAATCTCGGACCTCTAAAATACGCGCCCAGCGTGTAGACCATCACACCACGAAGGCATTCTAAGAAGGTGGGAGAAATACCTTATATACTCCCCTTTTAAAGGGCGACTGTTTTTTTACGGGACCCAGTCGCCAAATCCTGGGTGTGGAGTATCATCATCCAACACCCTTTTAATTCGGGCGCTACTTGTTGAGGCATTTGTTATTTTTGGAAGCAGGCAAGATGAAAAATGAGCAACGCCTTCGCCGGCTATCGAACCACGTGTTTCTGGAATACGCGCCCAGCGTGCAGACCACCACACAACGAAGGCACGCCAGGAAGGCGGGAAGAAGTACCTTATAATGTTACTAATATGCTTACGTAACTATGAAATCTGATGAAATAGTATCTTCATTTAGATGTAGCATAAGATATAATAAAGTTAATGTTGCGGTTGAGAACGAACGCACTTTTTAAACCTAACGCTATCTTTAATAGTTTCTAATTTATAACATATAATTTTAGAACAAATGCTAAAGAACTAGTTTAAATAGTCATCCAGATTATGAAAACTCGCAGATTTAATAGCACACAATGCACATTGTGCTAAACTATATCTTGCCCATAATACAGCATATATTACGAAAATTAGAGCTACTGTATCAGTTACATTTATTTCTTAATTTTTGTAGCTTGCGCCAAATTTTCTGGTTATGAATCAATAGTAATAATTCATCAAAAAGATACGATCTACTGTGATACCACTGCTTCAGTTTCAAAAGATTTTAATGGTATGCAATCCCTCCTTTTTTAGATGACAGATTTTAAGTTCTCAAGTTTAGGTTCTCATTTAAAAGATAATATAGAAATTTATAAGATTCTAGTTAAACTGTATTAAACTGTATCGCATTTGGCAACTAGAATACTTGAGAAGGTATAGCGACTATTCGCTAACTTCTAAAAGACACGAATAACAGTCCAAAGAAGGCTTAAAGTACCCTATTATTAACTCATGAATATTTACAGTTACGCTCTTGGGCTTACAGGTAAGCCTCCATTCGGGCTTTAAATTAAGGTAGAAAGTAAGAAACTAAATTAATGCTAACTAACTAAGACTAGCCGAAGCTGTACTGTTATAACCTATACAGAAACATTTTCTACCTACCTTAAAATATGACATACAATACTGCTATCCCCATTACTTATGATATGTCGAACGTTAAGGAAAACGTTGAGAATGTCAAAATAATATCACACCAAAAAGCAAATTTTAGCACATTGAAATTTCTTGCCTAATGTTTTGAAGTTTAAACATTATTTCTGCTTCAGTGTAATATTTACTTTCACATTTCGTTCAACTTTAAAACAATATTCTTGTTTCATTAGGTTAACTATTTTTAATATCAGTTTTTCTGTTTGTTTAGATTTCTTCTTCAGAATTCCATTTTATAATTCCTTTTTTATTCCCCATAGTACCAGCCAATGAATTCGAGCTAGGCTACTTTGAGACGAGTTACAACACTGTGAATGTTTCCTGCGAAGCCCTTGGTGTATTTCCGTCACCAGATTTAAGGCTTTATCTAAGGCCAACAAATGGCAGTCCACCTCAACTCGTCACAAATGTGAAAACTGAAAGCATCAACAGATCGTCAGGTGCCTTTGACGCATTTTTACATCGGACGTTTAAAATCAGTGAACTCACAGTGAAAGGTGCCACAGTGTTTGAATGTGTGTTAGAGCTACCGGGAACGAATTATGTAAAATCTAAAAGAATTGCTTACTTTCCAGGTAATATTCATTATTATTATTATTAATATTAAGTACGATTAATTATTAGTAAGTATATTGTAAATGGAAATACAAGTAAATCATAAGTTAACCATGACTAAAAATTATTGAAAAATATTATGAATGGAGTAAATTTAATTTTATTAAAATTCGTTTAAAATATTTAAATGTTTAATAGTACTGAATTAAAGAAGTATAGAAAGGTAATAAAAATTTAGGTACCAACGCATAGATTACAGATAGGAAAAATCTGATGTGTATACCACATGACTTCCTTGTACGGAATATTAGTGTGTGTGTGTGTAATTATGGTAAAGCTGCGAGGGCTATCTGCCTAAGGGAAGAGATGCCATCGTGGAGGACTTTCTGAGGGAAACTGGCTCGTATACACTTAACACATGTGGAAAACCACGAAAACGCCCATACAGACAGACCGTTCGCGGGGTTCGAACCTCGGACCGAACTACCAGTGTTCACGACTTTACCACTCGGCAGCTGGTGGATCCCGTAGGCAATATTAAATTATACGCATTTTTTTCTTGCCTTTCATTTAAACGTATTGGATTGAAATAAATATACTTCGCCGACAGCGCATAAACCACAATAGAATAGATGCATTCTTTAAAATTCACTCTATTTCTTTACCATAGCGACACTCTGGCGCTAGGTTCACTTAACAGTATTATATTTCGTTCATATTATAAATCAGAATGCAGAAAACTTATATCATTTCAAGAATTATCTAATCGTTGCCACATGTTCTATTCAAATACTATAATAAAGCTAGAAAGATGTATAAAATAAATTAAGCAAACAAAACGAAAAAGACACAGTTTCTCACAGACAATTGAGTATTTCTCATTCCATTAATTCAATTCACACTTCATGACGAGGCTTAAATACATAAAAACTCGAAATACATGTATTAAAAATTACGAAGTAAATTTTAAACACTTACTTCCTCGAAAAAATTCCAGACAGGATTAAGAATGATTTAATTCGCAATAATAAATGAAGGCGTTATCTTTCTTGTTGCGAAGCTAAGTTTCTCTAGACTGGCAACAAGTCCACTACTCTGCTGTTTCAAATGTAAACAAGCAATGGCCGCCATCAAAAAAATTAGCGGCACTTAAACAAATTGTTGAAAATTCAAAAATTATTGCATACAAATTTACTAAAGGCATAAAAACCTTAACCGGAACATAAGAACAACATAATTCAATCATTTTTAAAGCAAAAAATGTACAATTTGAAAACATATAAGAGTAAAGAAACTCAGGTCACTGACCCGGGTAGCAGAGTGGATAAAAATATTTTCGAATAAAAGAAAAGAAATAATATTTCAAAAAGAAAATAATATTTTCGTGCATTAGCAAGTCTTCCAGCATTAATTTTGGCAGTTTTTTCGCGTGTTTACAGCTTTTTCCAGTTTTTCCAGACAAATTTCTTCTTAGGTTTTATTGTTGTAATACTGCGTTAAAATATTTCGTGGAGCTACAGCTGCTGGTAACTTTTTAGCAAGATCGCTACAATGTTTCTACCTACTACTATTATTTTATATAAATATATTTATATACGTTTTGGTGCGGCCAATTGCAACCAAACTACGAGGTGCACATCTACATGTTACAGCAGTCCTATATACAAAATATCAACGTTCTGAGGCTACTCGTTTTTGAGTTATGCCAGATACGTACGTACGTACATACGTTTGTACAGACGACACGAAAAATTCTCTTCATAGTTCATTTTAATGCAGTTTTATAATTTTTTTCTAGGAAAAGAGTCTTTTATTCTGTTCTTACGTGCAGATATCACGCAAAAACATCGTTAAATTGCATTCGATAGCGGTCAAGATGGATATTTTCGTTGAAATATGCTGCCTGAAACTTTTCGCGATTACAATGCTTCCTTTTTCCTTCGTACAAGGAAGTAAAAACTGAATTATAAAATATTAAAGTAGTATTATGATAACCCATGTTAAGAAAAAAATGAATCTCCTGAATTATTTTCATATTCAAGATAAAAATAGGCAAATCGAAATTATATTTTAAATTAGCAGTAGCCCCTTAATTCTTCATTTTTAATTTGGGTATTTCCTCTCTGTGTTTTAAAAATAATCACACCTTTTTTTGGTCTGTTCCTTTTCAGCTCAGTCCTTGTCACATGTCGTGCATGCTGATGACATGGCTAATTCGAAACTTAAACTTGTGTTTCTCTTAATAAGCTGCCATATTGGAATAACTGCGCACTTCTGCTTCTCCTCATGCTCTCGTTAAGATGCTAAGATTCTAGTTGCTTTCTCCCTGTCGCAACAATAACAGAAATGTAAATGTTCTTGTAAGATTAGAGTGCGCAGTGATTTATGGTTGCAAATGTCAATTGAAATAAGGATGATATTTAATATGACTCGACTGTCAAGGTTGTTGTTCAGTACAGATTCAACATTCTACTTTCTACGCCATCAATATTGCTAAATCGTTTTCATTATACATATAGATTGCAGAGGAAATACATGATAAGTCTTTCTTTCTTAAAATTCACATTTATAACGAGCGAATAATCTTGTTCTAATAATTGTACGTATAAATGTAAAAAGAAACTTTTGAAATGGCTGATTTAAATGCTTACTTTTTAGTGAGATTTGTTTCTGCCATCGTTTCTTTTTGGAAGATTAAAACTAGCAGTATTCCTTACATATATTCAGAATGCTGTACCAGATGTGGGTTAGGAATAAATAAAGGTTTATGCTTATTCCAATCTTTCAAGTTATGTTTTATATGATTTTTTCATTAGTTTGATACGGAAATTAAAGAAAATATTTAATTGCAGTTTTATTTGATTTACATTGATCTCACGTCATCCAAACTACAAATCTCAAAAATATTTCTTCTAAAGAAAATTGTTTAAAAATTGTTTCCAAGTAGCAGTTTTTAAAATTTATATTTATAAAAATAGTACAACTAAATGCGAGATATTTTCGAGAATATTTGATAGGTACAGAGTCTGAAATCTAAAATCTTCAAAATAAAATATTCAATAGCACTTGTGAATAGAAAAAGGTCTCTCTGTCGTTTAATACATCAGACATTTTTTTTCCTTTTTGAAACCTTGTTTTATCCTTCTAGATAATCGTATTAAAAATGTGGTATTATAAATATGAAGCATAAAAAATAGTAAGACAAAAATACTTACTTCTCCGGAAAAAATTGTATAAAATACATTTTATTTCAAAGAATGTGGCAAAAAGTCTGCAGGAAGTACCGACGAACGGATTATACAACTCTTTATTATTGATTTACTTACATAATAAGAATGATAATTCATGAACGGCAATGAACAGTATTTTATTATAATTTCTTTTAAATATGTTCATAAATCCGTACAAGCTTATAGAATAAGAAATATAAACAAAATTCCTAAAATCTAAAATGCAAAACTAATATTTAATATTTTTGTTTCTCAAATTTTCTAAGAAATTTTGTTTTTAAGGTTATTTTTTTATACTTGCAAATGCTTTCTTCATCTTATTATGCATTGTACTATTTTATACCATATATTTTTCATTAACTTATTCATCGCATAACAATAGTGTATAACAAATTGAAAGCTGGAACCCAAATAGTAAGTATTCAGCAAAATCTAACTCTCATAGGTAACACGTAACAATTTTGCGTAACGATTTTAAGTATATCTTCTAGTGAAACGTTTTTTATATCTCTCCAGATTACTTTTATGTACATGATACATTGTAGCAAGCATTTTGTAACAAAATATCTGAAAGTTTTCGAAATATATAGGTATTTTGGCCTTTTAATTTTTTTAAACACTTGTCCATTGCAATCTTAGACTAATGAAATTTAACTGTTGTAACGAAATTTATTCCAAGGCATTTCCAGGTGGCATACAGGAGTTAACGTATCAATTTAAAACTGTTTGCGACGTGATGATTCACATCTGAATGCATTATTTTTAAAATTGTAAAAGTTTGTTTATTTCTACAAATACAGGTATTTTCGATGCCTAGTACAATTTTTAAATATATTGCTACGAATTTGTACTTTGTATAGGTAATTTTAGTAGAATTATACGTAATATTGCTGTATTTTTCTTCGTAGGGTTCGCTAGACAAATTTTAAGAGAAAGAGTTAAGAATACAGGGGCAAGTGCATTTAACATTAAGTAAATGTGTCTCGGTAATTTGGCCAAGAAATCTCCAAATGTCGAAATTTGGCGACATTTGCGTCCGGTCTCTTTATTACCGTAGTATATATTGAAATTGAATAAATGTAATTGATTACTGTGTTAGCTGTAACCGTAACCCCACACTCTCATTCCTTACTAGTAATTTCGAGACGAAGAAAGTACTAGAAATATCTCGCAGGCCGGTTAAGAACTATTTAAGGACGAAAAGAGAGCATCTGATCTCGGTCGCAGTTGCTTAGTTAGTTATTGTTGTTGAGAGTTGTAGTCCTGCTTGAAGAGATAAATTCTAGTTAGCTTTCTCTTTAGATACGCTTTGAATTGCGATATATTTAACGTTCTTAGCAGTTTGATGCGTAACTACTGATTGTATTCTGTGATACTGCAAACACTTGTATGGATATTTCTGTGGAAAATTCCAGAGCTCTGAAATATTTCTTTTGATAAAAATACATTCTTATTAACCTATTATCGGACTTGCGAATTCAATTTATTACGAACTCGTACGCTCGCAACAATATATTTTAATATTTGATATATTTTAAAACGAATGAATGAAAATTTTGAAATTATTTTCTTATGTATTTGCGTTTGATTTGAGACACAGTAAACTTAAACTATATTTCATCCTTTTACCTGCACTTAAATATCTTCCTCTACATTTACTTTTACTTCTGTCTTAAATAATGGAAGAATTTTTAACTGGAATTGAAGAACGATTTTGAGCACTTTCCAAATATGTTTTGTAACTCAGCTTAAATTATTTCAAAAGCTTCAAACTGAATAACTTCAAAAAT